ACAAGGTCTCTTAGCGAGTGCTGGTGCCAAAAGCAGGGTGAGTGGAGATGCATCGGCTCCAAAAGTTGCTGGGCATCAACTCCGAGAGTCTCAGCCCCCAAAGCGGCGCTCCCAGCGCGGCTCCTCCCGCTCATTAGCTCGTAACGAACCCGGCGCTAATTAATTTTGTCAAGTGACCCGTGGCGCTCGGGCCGGCAGGTGAGGCCGCCCGCGCTCGCCCGCTTGTTTGCCAGCGCCTCCGCGTGCGTTCCCGGCGGCGCTCGGTCCCTCTCCGGGCGAGGGGGGCAAGGCGCGCGCCGGGGAGCGTATTCAATTAAAACGCGGCCGCGCTTGTAGAGAAAAAAGCCCAAGCTGGAAAGGTTAAGAGCTACCAGAGAGCCTCAGAACAGTCTCGCTCTGTTCACAACGAATTAATCAGACCGTCGAACCAATCTTTTAATCTAAAGTATCCCTTTCATTTCAGTGCTCCATAAAGTGAAGGGACTGGAGCGGGAAGCGCTCGCCGTCTCCGGGCCTTATGTGGGCAGGAGAGGAGGAGGCTTTGCCCGCGGGGTCCTCCTCTCTGGGAAGCCCCATGGGATTCCGTAGGGCATCCGAAAGGCGCCCTGATGCCAAAGAGCCTGATTTTAGGGTCACTCCGACGTTTCCCATCCGTGCGTGCGCGGGAAGCAGCTTTGCGGATGGGAGACTACTGGGAGCAGGGATTTGGGAATGGACATACCCCCGCGGGAAGGGGAGAGCCGGCGTGAGCAACCGTCGGCCTCGGATCTGTCGAGGGGAGCACGCGGGAGAGAGGCAGAGATAAAGAGAGGGCAAATCCAGGTAAAGCAGGCAATCCTTTCTCAAAATCAAATGTATCCTCTTCTTTTCTCTCCCCCTCCTTTTTAATACGCTCTTCAAAGCTGGCGAAGATTAAGTGCGCGATTTATCTCTGCCGAGTTGGTATCTTAAAAGGCACAGCCAAGTGTGCGATCGTATTATTAATATTTATGCCTCGTCACGGAATGTTGACAGATTAATTATGCAACGCGGTGTAAAAACCAGCAGGCAGCGTGGGTGGCCGGGGGCAAAGTTCAGGTACGAGTAACGCGGCGCCGGGACCGCGTCCCCGGGTCATCCGAGGCGCCGCGGTCGCGGGGACTCCCGTTGCGCGAGACGCTGCAGAGGAGGGTTGAGTCGTTAGGTGACGTTAGCAAGAAGCTGGTGGCTTGGAGGGGGCCAAACGTCCTCTGAGCATCCCCGGTGCCGCTTTGGAGCCACAGGTTGGGGTAAGTTTTGGAGCCCAGGGGTTGACGAGGGCACGCGGTTTTGTGGTGACGGTTTTGCGTGACCGCATCTTCCTTGCTGCTGCCAAATAGGAAGCAATTAGGACCAGGGAAAATCTCCGCAGCCTCCAGCTTTCCGTCGCGAGCGCCGCTCCGCTGCCGCTGGGAGACGTTGCGAATCGGGTCGATTTTGAGTTTCTTTTCTTGAGGATGCCGGCGCAAACGAACATATCCGGCTGTGCCGCCCCGCCGAAGCGAACTCCTCTGGTTCGAGCAGCCTTTTAGTTCTTTAAAAGACATAATTTTGTGTAGCGTTGACGTCGGGAGCTAAAAAGGCCGCGCTGACATAAACTGTTTTGATCAACCCGCAGCGGGTTTCTTTTCTTGCAAGATTCTTCTGTGACAAATGTCCGTTTTGTTATGGGTTTCTTTATCCTAATTGGGCTGAAAACAAATATAGACATTGCAGAATCTGTTGGAAAACGCTGGAATCCGGCTCCCCGCGGCCGGGGCGGATTTGTTGTCGGCAGCGTCTGTCGGATGGGCGGACGGTCCTTAACTCAGCAGGAGCAGGGAAATGGCAAGCTGTGCTATTGGGAAATGGAAATGGGGAGTAAGAAGCGAGGGAAAAGGAACTGAAGGTTGTCATTAGCCATCCGTGCGGGTCCCGATCCCGGTGGGATGTTCCCGGAATCGCTCCTCTTTCCAGAGCGATGTTGCATAGGAGTTGCATTAGGGTTGAGCTCGTCCTAGTTGTCTCTTCTCCCGCTTCCCCAAGGTGACTTCGGGTGCTTTTCTGGCCCCGTTTCCCTGCTTTCCCACCCCGAGGAGACCCGCTAATTCGGCAGGGAGCCGACGGAGAGCGTAGGGTGAACGGCTACGTGCCGAGCTCTCTGGAGACCCTGGCGTCTTTTAGAGAGCATTGGAAAAACGTATTGGAAAAAGGCCCGTTTCCCAGCAGGAACGCGGCTTTTTGTGCCTCAGGGTTCTTTCTTGGAGGCCCTCAAGGTTAAAGAGGGCTGCTCTTTCCAGATGGTCTCCATCCGAGGCCTCTCATTACGGCAAGCCCGGCCTCCCAGCGCCAAAAATAACGGGGATTGGAAGCCGGCAATGGTGCTCGCTGCCGTTCGAAGGGCAGGGCACGATTCTGGGGTCACGATGGGACCGTAGGGCCTTCGGTCACCCCTTTGCGCCTTCGAGGAGGGTGTCACCTCCGCATCCTCTGCAGCGCGCGCGGTTCCGTACAGCTTTAGTGAAGAAGCAGCCCCCGGGATTGGGAATTTTGGTCCCCGGACCAGAAGGAGCCAACTCCGCGGGGAGTCGGCGCTTTATGTTTTTCCTCGCCGCTACCCAAGTTCAATAGCAGCGGATTGCCTATTTCTCTAAGGCTTCTCCGCAAACAATTTACAGTGTAAATATATTTGTTGGCATGCAAATCACTCGGCATTATGAGTCTTGATTAATATTATAATGTGTTGATGAAAGCCTGTGTAAGTGGTTCTTGGAACCAAGGTTCCTGACAAAGATAGGCTGTTTGGGTGCCCGGTGTTTGTTGAATATGAGATTAGGGTGTTTTGATGCTTTGTGTTTTCCCTCATTTTAATTTGCGCTGCTGCCGGTTAACGGACGGGGAGGTTTCCCTCTTTCTTAGCAAGATTCCAAGCGCGGAGCGGCACCGTCGTGCCACGGATCGCGCCGTTCATTAACGCAACGAGGGGCATCGAGGCTCGGAAACCCTGTCCCGGCCCCACGGGGACCCTCCGGTGTCTAACGGGGCTGAGCTCAGCCTCTAGGACGAGGCGCCAAGAGATTCCCGGTGTCCCCAGACTGTCCGGCTTTGAGGCCGCTCCCTGTCATGGGAAGTGGCAGCAGGGAAGCGTCACCGAGCCCCAAAGCAGGGCGGATGCCCCGTCCCCCTGTCCCAGCCTCGAGGGTCTCCTCGTTGTTTGCTCCGCAGCTCCGTCCCTTTCCCGTTAGGGTGCGGATGCCGCTAGACGGCTCCCGCAGCGCCGCCGCTCCTCGAAGCGCCTCTCCCTTCTCCTCGCGGGAAGCGGCTCTCCGCGTGCCGGGAACGCGGTCCAGGCGGGGGGAACGACGAGGGGAGCCGCAGCGGCTCCTTAGAGGGCAGCGGAGCGGCGTGTGGCCACAGCCGCGAGTTCCGACCTCTGTTAACTGCCAGTTTCCTCGGAGAGTGACAGGGAGCGCTGAGATGGAGCGAGGTCCCCGCGTGCGCCGTTGCAGCCCGCGCCCGGCTCCCGCGGTGGCCTCCGGCGCATCCCACCGGTCCCCGCCTCCCCCGTTGCCAAAAAGGAGAAAAAGATGGAAAAAACATTACAAGAGCAAGAGCCTATTGCCTCTTCTATTTGTTTTTTCCCCCCCTACCTTTTCTTTTCTTTTTTTTCCTTTTTTTTTTTTTCGCCCTGAAAGCAGCTGTGCCTTTTTCCAGCACTTTTAAATGGTTGCCAGGGAAACAGAGCAAGGGAGAGCGGAGAGGTTAGATGGATATTGGACGAGGCTAATGCACTTGTTTCAAGGAAGAATTGACAGGTGCCGGGACGCGGCGGGGGCCACTCACGCCGCTCGTCCCCGGCGCCGCCGATCCGGTTTCCATCCTCGTGTGTCCTGTGTGCGCGTCCTCGTGTGCTGTAGCCCTTATGGGACATGCAGGATGAAAGAGCTGGGACGTTGGGCCTCCCTGGTGCGCTCGGGCTCGCTCGCGGGCCCTAATTTGGCACCATCTGGGAGTTTGCTGAGGGGGAGCCGTGGGGCTCGCGGTAGGACGGGCGCAGGGGCTGCCCTGACCTCGCTTGGTGTCCCCGGTCGCCCGGGCCTGTTCTTGACGCTATCTGCCCCTATAAATAAGCCTCAGGAACGGCGATGGGGTGCATAAATCTGAGGCGATGCTATAACCAAGGTGACGAGCCCTTTGCCAGGGATTTTTACATTTCTCCTGGAGCCCGCAGCTTTGCTGGGAGAGAATGATTCCCGCCGTCTTTGGCTTCGCCCATCCCTCCTCCTCCTACTCCCTACTCTCTCCGCAGGACCCGCCACCCGCATCCCGCTCCCGGGCGCTCTATTCGGTCACGGAGTCTCCCGGCACGACCCGCACCACAGCATTTGCCCCCAGGAGAGGCTTTTCCATCCCCGCTGGAGCCACAGGGCCCTGTTTGCGGCGCGTTTGCAGCCGGGGATTTGCGGCGCTTTGGCAGCGGGGGACCCGCCGGGCTGCTTGTTTCCCCTCCGTGCCCGCGCGTGCCTCGACGCGCTCCGCACGCGACAGACGGCGCTCGCGGGTGCCAAGTTTGACCTGGCGCTTCCCGGTGGAGGCGACGCATGTTTATTAGGGAAGCGGCGGGCGGGGAGGAGGCCCGTGCTCAGCACGGCAGACGCTGTCTCAGCAGATAATCCTAGAGCAATAGGTGCCGGTTCCCCGGCGGCGGATGCGGCACCTATTGCTCTAGTATTTCCCGCACGTCGTTTGACTTCTCTGTCTCTCGCCAGCCCCCTCTTGATCCCGCTACCTGCAGCAGCGCTAGATTTTATGGTGTGAATATTTCAATTAAATGACTTTATGGGGAGAAAAAAAAGCCCCCAGTGAAGTTGGAAGTGATCGCTGTATCACTCCAACTTTCCTCCGCTCCCAGAAGGTTAATTGAAAGGCAGCCATCTTGGTGACGTTTAGACAAATGAGGATAATTATGTGTTCTCCAGCTCCTGGAGAGGTTAATTGCTTAGATGTACGAAGACTTGAAGAACAAAGAAGGAATAAATCAGAAGCGGGACGACGACCCGATAACGCACTTCGGTAACGTCGCGTGCGGGTCGCGCAAACAAACCCGCCGTGAGATCGGACCCGCTCCGCACTCGCTTCCGGGCGGAAAGGCCTCTCTGCGGGTCCCATCGGGAAGCGCAGGCTAATCCTCCCTAGCCACTTTCTTAGGAAAACGGCGAGGAAGCTGATAGCGGCCGCCTGATGAGGGGGGCGCGGCTCTCGCTGCCGATCCGGGTCAGGTATTTTAGTCGCCGGAAAGTGGGTCAGCCGGGTAGTCGGCGGCGCCGTTTTGGCATTTCCATTTGTCATCCTGCAGAGAGACTTTGCCTCAAGGAGTGAGAAATGGCTCGGGGTTGAAGGGCTGCAAAGGTACTTAAAACTATAGATGTGTTTGTTTGCATAGGCGAGCGGGCAGGTCTGGCGCCCGCGTGCCGAGACGGAGCGAGCGGTCTCCGTCTGCCCCCGGACCCAACGAGCGTGTCAAGGGGGTATCCGTATCGGGACACTAGGTGCGATGATTCCTCGGGAAGCCTCGGAGTGAGGCCGTACGCACGAGGGACGGGCGCAGTTAGAGCGGCCACGGCGTCCCCGGTGCCTCCGGGAGCTCTGGTTGGTCCTTGTCCCCCTGCTTGGTCACAAGGAGGATTCGGGGGAGGCTTTTGCCCTCCCGCTCTTCGTTTTCCGGAGCTCTTTCCGGAGCGGCGCGCTCGGAGCGGGACGCGGTGCCTTCCAGAGTGTGTCGCTCAGGTTTGTCTCTGCTCTTCGTTCGATCCCTTCCAGGGAAACCCTCCCAGCCCGCTCTATTATCCAGCTTTGTCACAGCTTGTCCGCGTTATCTAAACACTCGCCAGAAGTCTCGCTACCTGTTTGCTTACCGCAGCCGTGCTCCTAATCCCGCTTGACGGTAACGAGGTAGCCAGGACTGCGCGTCGTCGCCGCGACGCCCGGGCCTCGTCCGTCACCCTAACGAGGGGGCCGCGCGTCCCTCGCGGGGCTCTCGTCTGGATATTTATCCGCGCGCCGACACGCGCGTTGTCTGTTTTACATATTACTGCCCTGGTTTTGCAGCGCGCACGATGAATAATTTAGGGGAAACGTGTGTAAGTATCTCTTTATTATTCATTATAATGAAGTGAGACAGCGGTAATAGTCCACGAGAGCGGAGTCCCCGAGGGCCCAACTTAACTAGGCTGCGCTTAGTTCTCCCCCAGTTCATCCGCACGACGGGAGGGCTCGTGCCGAGCTTGCTATCCAACCGCGCCACCGTCGTCACCGCTGCGTCCTTTGCCTCGCAGGTGTACCGTGGATGACCGGGTGACACGGGTGGCGTGGCTCAACCGCAGCACCATCCTCTACGCCGGCAACGACAAGTGGTCCATAGATGACCGCGTGGTCATCCTCTCCAACACCAAAACGCAGTACAGCATCAAGATCCACAACGTGGACGTGTACGACGAGGGGCCCTACACGTGCTCCGTGCAGACCGACAACCACCCCAAGACCTCGCGCGTCCACCTCATCGTGCAAGGTGAGCGGCCGCGCGTGGCGACGGGCCTCGCAGGGACAGATCCCGCGCGGCCGCCTCCGGATCCGCGCCACGTCCGGCCTCTCGATTAATTTTTCAGAGTTGCTGTTAGTTCGGGTTAGATAAAGAGAATGAAAGTTTCCTAATCCTCTTAAAGAAGATTTATCTGGCCGAGTAGAAAGCTCTCGGAATACAATAGTGCGTGTATAAAACCAGGGCCTAATCTTGCCTTTAATTTCCAACAGCTGATGGGTATCGATTTTGCAATGAGCCCATCTGAAAAATTCCAGGGCCGCCACGTGGCTCAGCCCAGAAACCTGACCCGTACGTGTCAGTTTATCCGGCTCGCGTAGGCGTTAAAGCCGGGGAGCGGCCGCGAGAGCGTGAAGGAGGAGCGGCCGCGCCGGGACGCGTGCGGGAACGTGAATCCGTCGCGTTGTCGTGCGGCGGGACGTCGAATCGTGTCGCGTGCCGTTCGCGGGCCACCTCGGTTTGTGGTTTCTGCAGGGAGCCCGCATCGGGGCTGCCCTTCATCCCGCTGGCCGTGGGTTTTTTGTTAATGACTCTATCTGCCACCCACAGCGCTGCTGCCCGTGCCTGCTCGCCGTCCCTTTTCCCAGGCCGGTGTCTGACGGCTCTGTGCGGAGCCCCGGTGTGGCCGATGCCCTCGCGAGGGGTTAATTGTCACTATGGGGCCTTTGCGGTGGGTATCTCTCCTGGAGCCGGAGCCGGGCTTTGTAGCGCAGGAGTAGAGGGCAGGGAACTGCCAAGAACATCAAAAGGCTTTGAAGAGGAGAAGAAACCAAAGGAGTCGGGCGGGAAAAAGGCTTCCCAGCAGGAGCGGCTGCCCAAAGCGCGCGGCTCGCTCCGGGATCGCCTCCTCCCGGGGCGTTCGCGCAGGGCGGGCGGGAGGAGGAAGGTGGCCGAGCGGGAACGCCTCGTTTCGGTAAAGCACCCTGGTTTTTCAGCAGTGGTTTTTGCAAGGCTGGCGCAGAGGTGCCGTGGGTGATGTGGAGCAGGGTACAACGCCCTATCCCCTAATGAAACGCTCGCGACATGCCGGGCGCCCGACGGGGAGCGTGCCAGGAGCCTCTCCCCGCCCCGGCTCCCGCTGCCGCGCGCGCTTCATCTGTTCTCTCGGCACAATCGGCTGCGCCGCGTCTCTCGGATCGCGCTGTCATCGGAATTGATTTTATCAAAGCCCATGATCTTTGCTGTCAACACGCGGCACTCGGCGAAAACACCGAACGTCTTCTCCGTTCCCCCGCGCGCGCCCGGCTGGGAGCCGCCTCCCGTCGGTGACGTCTGCGCGAGCCCCGTGTCCTTATGGACCCGTTAGGGCTCCAGGTACCTCTGCAGCACGCGAGGCCACGGTCAGAGCACGGTGCTGCCTCGAGCCCCTCGGCCGGTCCGTCGGGCACGCGTAGGTTTGGGGCAGTTTTTCCTTTTCCCTTCCTCGCAGCGGGAGCACCGCGCGCCGCCCCGCGTCCCGGCATGCCGGGAAGCGGCATTTTTTTCCCTGGCTTTAACTGCTTTTTGCCCGGGCCGTGGATATTTATGGGTTCGGAGATCGCCGCGTTATTTATTAGATGGAGTATCTGGGGCTAGGCGCCTATAAATCACTTAGGGCGGTATTGAATAAAGCAGACACTCGGTAATTTAAAAAGCTTTAATAAAAACGCTAAAATATGAGACTTGTCTGTGGGTGTAACGAGACTCAGTTATCAGGGGCTTATTGGCGATTCCGGGGGCTTTTATCCCCCGGTGCGGCCGAGCCGGGGCCGGGGCGCCCAGCGGCGCGCTCACCCTCCATCCCGCCCCGCGTCCCCTCGCAGTCCCTCCGCAGATCGTCAACATCTCCTCGGACGTGACGGTCAACGAAGGCAGCGGCGTGACGCTCATGTGCCTGGCGTTCGGGCGGCCCGAGCCCACCGTGACCTGGCGGCACCTCTCCGGGAAAGGTGAGCGCTCCGAGGGCCCCGCGGGCGGCGACGGCCTCCGGAGTCGGATTTATGGAGGGGCCGGGAAGAGGGACGAGGGGCGCGGGGGGCGGCACCCCTCGGCCCCAGCCGAGCCGGGAGTGAGCGGGGGGGACCGGGAACACGCACAGGGCCATGGAGGGGGCCCGTGAGCGCACGTTCCGAGCTCGCTGGGCGCTCTTCGCGGTCGGTGATGGGATCTCGCACATTGGGAGGTGCCGCGAGGGCTTTTGGTGCTCATGGGATCCCAATGTGTCCCCGGGCGCTCCGCAGACCCGCCGTTCATCTCCAATGCCAAGAACACGGGCGCCTCGGTGGGCCAGAAGGGCATCCTGCAGTGCGAGGCCTCGGCCGTGCCCGTGGCGGAGTTCCAGTGGTTCAAGGAGGACACCAGGTAAGGGCGGCCGGCCGCGCGGGGGCCCCGGAGCGGGCGGTTTCCGCGGGGCATGCACTTCATTCCCATCATTTCGGAGGGGGGTTGCATTTTGGCGCAAATTCCCATTGGACACGGGAAGACGGTTGCACCGCGGCAGGAGCCGGAGGCCGGGTCTCCCCCGTGACGGGTCTCTCTCCCGCCCGGGGCAGATTAGCGAACGGCCTGGACGGGGTGCGCATCGAGAACAAGGGGCGCATGTCGACGCTGACCTTCTTCAACGTGTCCGAGAAGGACTACGGCAACTACACGTGCGTGGCCACCAACCAGCTGGGGAACACCAACGCCAGCATCATCCTGTACGGTAGGTGCCGTGTTTGTGAACGTCTAGGCGTCTAGGTGCCGGAGCGAGGAGCGCGGTGGAGGTGGCGGAGATGGCGGAGACAGCGAGCGGAGCGTGACGTTTCCCAACGGAGAGACCCTGTCCGGGCGTGCGTCGGAGGCGCTAAGATTTGGAGTGAGTCGCTTAGAGGAATCGGGCCGGAGGGGCCCTCGGCTTACGCTTTCCAGGCCGCCGAGCTGCGATGCATCTTAGCACA